GATGGATTTTAAAGGAGACCTGGAGTTTTTGCTACAAGGGGTTTCGGATTTTGACCTCCAGGGAGATGGAGTTCCCTCTTTAGCCCTGGTCCATGGTCCTCTCTCTTTTTCTATCTGTACGACAGACAATGGAGAGACCTTTCTGGCAGGGTCATACTATGGACGGGGACGTGTCATTCTGGTCACTCATGAGGCGTTTCTGCAATATGAGGTGTTGTAAAGTAACATAAAAATGTTGCCTTGTTTCACTTAGAGCAGTGGTTCTAAAACCTGGTCCACAAGTACCACGTCTCTGATTGTTTTAGATGCCTCTCTTGCAGAGAAACCTGTCTTAAATTATTGCATGAGTTCATAGGCAGCCATTAAGTGCTGCAGAAATCTGTTAATCATTCCCTCATGTATGGCAGCAAGGAGACACCTAAAACTTGCAGGACAGTCATAATTAAGGACAAGGTTTGAGACTTAGAGGATAGAATATGTTTAATGGATTATAAGCCATGGGTTAACAGTACAATGTATAGGCCTGCGCAAATTTTCAATCATCCGGTTCATGCAACCACAAAATGCTTTAATAGGAGGCAACCAGACTTTCTTTTGCTTTTTTCTGATGGAATACAAATCTTCTGTTATCGGAATGACAATAATTCCTCAGTTGTTAGGGAGAAGCAAAAAGACCACAAACATGTCAGGAAGCCAAACTGGGTGTTTGTTATGGTCAGATGAAAAACATATCAGGAAGAAAAAGACAGAATCTAACGCAGAGGAGAAAGTAGAGCTATGCCAAACATTGCATTTCCATTTGTGACAAAACGTTTGTGAAAAACTCAGGAGGGATGGAAGGTTTTTAGGGGGATGGGCCTCCAGGTGATTAAAAACATCAGCAACTCCATCTACAGGTTGCTCCAGCACAGACATTTTTTAAGACTCCTGGAAATGTGTCGAAATATTTTCAGAAAAAAAGGAAAGGCTGGTTGCCACTTATTTAACCCTGTTTTGTAGTAGAATGGATAGTTTAAAATGACAATGCTTAAACTATCCTGTTTTTTCTAACAGACACTGGCATCATTTTGGAAGAATGCTTTTGATTGGTTGGACCAAGGCAGAAGAGGAGTTGTTGGATTTCAATCAGGCATTAAACCGTTACCCTACTTAGGGTTGACATGTAAAACTACACAGTTAAACCAGGAGCTGAGTGTGTTTGTGTGCACAGCATACACTGACACTGATGCAAAGTTTATCCAAAACTTTGTGGTGGAAGGAGGAGGCCTGGTGATTGGTGGACATGCCTGGTACTGGGCATCAACACACATCGGTCAAAACCCAATGCAAGACTTCTCAGGTATAAAACTATAATTACTCTAATATAACGTATAAGGCTATTGGATTGACATTGAAACGGAAATACACGGCATAAAAAAAGCCATTCGGTCTGTCTGTATCTGAAAGTCCCACAGTATCTTGGCTAGGTCATTCTCTACCATCTTTAGAGGTGTTTCCCTTTGACCATATGGTTTCCATATGGTGAAAAAAGGAGTGTTTATAAGCTTGAGTAATTCAGGTGTCCTTGTTATGTACTTTGTTATGTACTTAAATGCTTTGGGATTTTGGCCATAAACAATGTATGATGAGCTTGAAGTCCTGGTAGGGAGCAAAAGTCATCATCCCATCATTAAGATGTGTGACCCATTGAGGAAAAAGTGACAGGAAATCCTCAGGCTACCAAAGTCATGTTTTACAGTCAGTAAAGAAATCAACTTTTGTTCTATTATTCAACTGAATATTTTTCCTTAAGTATTGGAATTCATCAAGATTATGTTTGGCAAGGGAGATGGGTCTCTGTGATATTTTTTGGTCGGCAGTGGTTTAGGCCTTGGAACCTTCCCTCTAAGACCATTTTACCCAATCGAGATTGTGATTTTAATTGAGGTCTGCAGTGCTTTTTGTGTTGTTTAACCAGCCATCCTCTCCTAGGCAGGGTTACCACTGCTCAATGTTTACTTGATGTCATGATCGATTTAAGAGATCTGACACACATGCAGAGAACCACTCAGGGAACCAGGGGAAAGGTTTAACAGGTTTATTGAGGAAACAGTACAGGAGTTGGATCTGGAACTCAGAGAACTGGTAAACCGGAACTGGAAAGTTTAAACAGGAGATCACAGTGATCAGTCCAGAGACGGTCGGAAAATTGACAGAGTCTTTGGTACTGTGGGAGCGGTACTCACGTTTAAGGGGGTTCTTGTTTATCCTTGGATCCAGTAGGTGTTGGTTTATCCAGAGAAGTGGGAACTCGGAGAGCGGACAGGTAGACATTCGTTGGACCCTGAGGAGCAATGGAGCAGACTGTCATTTGGATTTCCAAAAGCGACTTGAACGGCTTGTGTGGATGTTTTCCCCTGCTCAGTGTGAACTCAGTTAATCCTTCCAGGGGGAGAGGGCCAGGCATCCAGTTACACAGGAAGGCTTCCTGTTGAAAGGCAAAGACAAAAAACAATGTTAGACTCAGAGAAACAAAGGCTCAGATTAGACTCAGCTAAACTAACCTTGGCTAGAGTACCCAAAACTGGCAAACATTCTGGCCTCGAGGTAGTGACAGTCCACTGCTCAAATACCCTTCAGTAATGAACCAACGAGTCGCAGGT